TTTCAAAACTTATTTGTTTTAATATACAATATTTTTGTAATTTTTTTTTATGCGGCGGAATTTTTTGAAATACCAAATGCTGAGTTTGACATAATAATTTTATGAATATACACACACATACATACATATGTATGTACATTTATGTTTGAATAACAGATGGGTGCAAGAACAACAACTATAAACAAAACCAAATAAACAACAACGATAAGGACAATAAAATATTTTTAAAATAAAAAATAAGAAATCTAAAATATGACATAAACAAAGGATAACTTTGGCAGAAAGAAGATGAAATTCTCATATGTGAAACGAAATGAAAGGAATGCAAATCGTTGATGGCAGCAATAAATACAACAACAATAACAACTGAAATATTGACAGTATGTAGAAACAGCTGTCGTAGCTTGACGAACTTGTAAGGTAGGAAACTTAGCACATCGATGTATGTACACACACACATACATATGCCAGAATACACATAAGTATGTACTAGTTTCTTCAGTGCAGCTCCGAAAGCGTAGCAAACTTTGATGGAACACCCTTCAAAACATACTCAAACATATATGTATCTGCATAACATGCATATACATATACATATATGTATTTAATGTACATACAAACATGTGCATACATATATACTCAATTGTGAGCATGGTGAATATATTTACATATGTACATACACACATACGTGTACACCACCCCCTGCAGATATTTAGGTCAAAGCTAGTCAGTCACTCGAACGCTGCTGCTGTTCCACAAATGCTCGACTGCATCAACGCCAACCAGTCAACGAAGCCACCAAGTCAGTCAGTCCATTCGTGAGCCAAGCCAGTCAGGCAGCCAACACACCCTCAAGCCGTGCGGCACCACACCCCGCTATCATTAAGTAAGCTGCAGCAAGCCAGAGACAATGCACACAAGCTGAGGCATCCGTGGAGAGTGTGTAAGGAATTGTGAAGATTTCTTGCACTGAAGACACTACGCGTAGTCTTATCTACATATATACTTACATACATACATGGAACAAGCAGAATGTACGTGTATAAAGCGCGGAGTGAAATTACTTCAAATGCACTCAGCAGACGCTCGTCGTTTGAGAAGCGAGTAAGCGACGGTTGTCTATCATAATCAAAAGTAAGCGTAAGCATCCATACATATGTATACAAATACATACAAACTATTATATTATGCCTATCATTAACGGTTGGCCAAGTCGCTGTCAGAATGTTAATTCAGCAGCAGCAGCAGCGGTCGCAGCAATATATATATATAACTGTAAATTATCGTAATGTTTGCAGCTGAAGGCTAACGAAGATACTCTGTATGTAAGTTCATTTTGTGCCAAGAAAAGACGAATATTAAAAGAAATGCAAAAAAATAAAAGCTTAAATATGCCAACGAAAGTGATGCACATCACAGCTGAGCACAGAAATCTCTTTCATTCTCATGACACTCATCACAAGCGATTGTTGGGTGCTTAGCGCTCAGCTGTCATTTAGTTATTTGTATGTATTTATGTGTGTATGAGTGTGTGCATGTAAACTTTTATCGCGCTACTGCACGCAGTTATTTAGTTAAAAGAATATTACATTAGTCTAATTCTTGAACATATTTATAACATACATAGGTCTTTTAACCTAACAGTGCTGTTAGTGAGCGCAGAGGCTTACACCATAAAGGCAATGTTAAAGAGTTTCACTAGAAATGTTTTTTCTTTGAAATTAGTATAAATAAAAAAGGAGACCATTGTATTTATTTCTACGTATAATATTTTAATTTTTTACTTGATTTCATTTTTTTCGCTTTATTTTCCCTTAATTATATATATTTTCCTTTTTTATTTTATTTTTTTTTCGTTTTATTCTTCTTTAATTTATTTTAGTCCATTACGTTTTTTGTTTTATTTCTTTAATTTTATATAATTTTTTTTTAATGTAATTGTTTTCATTTTATTTTAGTTTGATTTATTGCTTTATATAATTTTACAACAATATTTTTTAATTTTATTTTGTTTTATTTGGTTTTATTATATTTGGTTTTGTCTTATTGTTTTATATTTCATTTTGAAATATTTATTTTAATTTGATAAATATTATCTTAGTTAAGATTATTTTATTTTATTTAAATTTTTGTACAAAACTCCAGGTCACACGGGTAAAAGGTGTACAATTTTTTTTATTATCCTGAAGACGATTTGTAGCCGAAATTTATCGGAAAACATTAGATGTTTTTATTCACATCGACTTTCAGCTGGCAAACAAAATTTAAAGTTAAAATTAAAGTCGCCAAAGCCACTATTTATTTAATTATATATTATGTATTTGTGTTATTTTATGTTATTATATTTTAATTTTAATTTAATTAATTTTTACTTTGTTTCGTTCTATTTAAATATAAGTTGAATAATTTTATTTAATTTTAATTAATTAATATTTTTTTATTTATTTTGATATATGTAATTTTAATTTTATTGAGTTTTATAACCGCTGAAGCGATTTTCGGCCGAGCTCCTCTTCCAATTTGTGGTTTTGCGTCTTGATGTTTTCCCAAAAATAGTTTTTAATAAGACCTGATGGTGTTTTATGAGGAGCTTTATTTAATGCCGGAAATACACTCGGAGGGGTTGACATTCCCTACCGAGGGGCAACCGCAATTTGAAAATTAAACTTAATTTTTTATTTAAATTAATTTAATCTCACCAGGATTTGAACCCGAGCCTTCTGAATAGTAGTACGTAATGATAACATTTGGGTTATCGTGGCCGCCGGCTTGTTTTATTTTATTTACTTTTTATTATTATATTTTGTATTTTTTTTTAGTTATTTTATCATTGAATTTTATTCCAATCAATGTAATTTTATTTATTTTTATTTAATTTTAGTTTATATTTATGCATGCTTTCATAAATTACATAACTTTATTTTACGTTAATTTATTTCATTTTATTTTAATTATATTATATTTATTTTTCTTTGCTTTTATTTATTTTTTTTTTGTTTTATTTTGTGTTTTTTTTTTTGTTTTTTATTTAATTTTATTTTTATTTATTTCAAATTTATAAATTTTCTTCAATTCAACTTAAATTTTATATCAAATGATTAATTAATTTTTTTAGTTGTATTTTAATGTATTTTATTATAGTTAAGTGTTTTCATTTCACTTTTTTAAATTTTATTTTAATATTTTAAATTTATTTAATTTTGTTCCTTTTTTAATTAAATTATGTTATTTATATATTTTTATTTAATTTTATTTTTATTTATTTCGATTTCAATTTATTTTAATTTTCTGTTATTTGATGTAATTCAATTTTTGTTTTTGTTTTTTTATTTTAATCTACTTTATTTTACTTGACTTTTCAATTGAATTTTTTTTAAACTCGCTTAGTTTTGTTTCTGCTATATTTTACTTAATGTGATTTAATTTTATTTAGTTTTATTTGTTAATTTAATTTTATTTTTATTTTAATTTAGTTTTATTTTATTTTTCTGTTATAATTTTTTATTATTCATGTTATAATTTTATTTAATTTATTTTAATTATTTGATTTTGTTATACTCAATTTTATCTTTTTATTTTTAATTTTATTTAAGTTTTTTTTATGTTAAATCATTATATTTAATTTTACTAAATTATTGTTTTTTCAATTTCTTTAAAGCTCTTTAAATAATTTGTTTATTTTGTTTTATTTTATTTCAATTTATAAAAAATATTTGATTATTATTATTATATACAATTTATTCTCATTTTATTTTATATTATTTAAATTTGTATTATTTTGATTTATTGTATTTTATTTTATTTAATTTTTGTTTTTCTTTTTTAATCGTTTAATTTAATTTAAACTATTATTTTTTTAGGCTTTTTATTTTTAATTATTTCATTTGATGCTTTTTATTTGATTTAAAATAAAATTTGTATATTTTTAATTTCGTTTTAGTTTATTTTATTTTATTTTATTGTAGTTATTTTATTTGGCTATAGCTTATTCTATTTTATTTACTGGAAGTTATATTTTGAGTTTATTTTTATTCATTTTATTAGTTTTATTTATGGTATTTTATTATTTTTAATGAATATATTTTTTGATTTTTTGTATTTTATTTTGTTGATTTATTTTACTTATTTTTACTTTAAATACAATTACTTTTTAATAAAAATAAAATGGTTTTACTAAATTTAGAAAATTAAAACTAACTCAAATTAGCTAAAAATATATGTTAAGAAGTGCAAAAATAACTTAAAAAATATATTTTTAGAAATATACATAAATGTTTATTCATCAACAGCCAGAATTCCTAAGCGAATTTCGTACGCAAATTTTTAGGTTTTTAGTCTAAAAATAAAAGCGAATGAAGAAAAATATATAGCTGATCAAATATGAAACAAATTAATGTCAGAAAAATTCAAAACTTGTTTACGCATATCCTCTAAATATAATTTTTTTTGAACATCTATAAACTCACAATGCCAAATTTGCTTATGAGATATGTGAGAGTGGCGCCGATCAATTAGAATTTAATTTCAAAAAATCTTTCCGTTTGCCGCCTTTTTGATAAAATTTGCCGGCATGCAATTTAAAGTGCCGGCTTAAACTGGTCTACGGAATAGCAAAGTATTTTGATAGAAAGTATAACAAGTTTATTTTGGTTGAACAAAATCTTAGCTACAATAGCGTCTGTCATTTATATGGAAATTCTTTGGGAAAAACAAGATCGTAAAATGTAGAATTTCAGAGTTAAAATTTTGTTGTTGAGTTAGGTTAGTTTGAGGTTAAAGAGGTGGGAGAAAACAAGTCTGAAAGGCAATAAAATCATATTTTTAACGAGAGCGTCCTTGAACTATAAGAATTTATTCATTTTGAAGATTTTAAATATTTATTTTTATTTATACAACATTTATGTTTGTAACAAAAAAAAAAACGGTTAAAACTAAGTGTGAAAGTCTTTTAGCCATTTTTTAAAAAGTAAGTCTGCAAAAAGCAATAAATTTTCACTTACCTCTCTGGCCATTACGACATGCCTCAACAGAGCCGCCCACGATATCGAGGGTCAGTGTTATCTGCCATCTGGTAACGCCGTACAGCCACTCTGCCACCGCCAACACTGTACGCATTAAAACATAATCTCGACTGGATCGCTGCGTAGCGTAAATTTTGTCTTTAGCACGATATTAAAAGGCTTTAAATATCAATCATTAGATATTTTTCTGACTCTTTATATGACGTTTTCTTTTTTTTATTGCTTTTCAATTTAATTTTGAGCGTCGTGTTGCGACAGCTGTAGGGTGTTCCAGCGGAATATTTTCTCCATACTTTTCTTCAGTTCGTTTTTGTTTTCGTATGATTTTCTTTTTTTTTAGTTTCTCTAAATAACATTACACACTGCAATTATTTTACGGTTGTTTAATGTTAAGTTTTTTTTATTAATATACATATTTTTATTTGAATTATTAATTTGCGCATTTTTTATTTCACTGGGAAGACGATGTGTGTTGTTAGTTGTTATGGTTACTATTTAGTTTTTTTCTTTCGTTTTTACTTATAATGTTTGATGATTTATGGAAATTGTTCGATTGATTTTATTTAATTTCACATTTTATGATGAATGTCAATATTCCAATACTCGGGGTTTAATATGTGCTGGCGTCAATAACTCGAAGTCTAATGTAGCGCAGTAGTAAAAAATGGTGAAGATAATTTTATTATTTAGTTATATATATTGAAAATAAATTATTTTTTTTTTTTTTAAATTTTCAAATAAATTTTTGCAACAATTGGGAACTAAGGGCCACTCAGTATCAAACTTTCCCGTACTGAGTTAGCTCTTGTAGTGAAATGTCAGTGCATTTCTTTAGTGCTAATCAGTCTTAACCCAAAGCTTGTAGTCCTCCGGAAGCAAGAGGTTAGTTGATCTTAGTATTAAAATGTGTACGAAGCAATTACTGTGGTTGCTGGGCTAGCAAGCATAATTATAGAAAAAGTGTTGTTTCATCAATTCGGTTGCCCCTCTGTATGAAGTGTCAGCCTCTCGATGACATGAAATGAAAAACTACCAATAAAAATCCATCATTAATCAGTCCATCAGAAATAAAGAAATAAGGCCGCAATTGCCTCGAGTCGTTATCATTGAGTACTGCTACCAAGTTGGACCAATGTCCAAAATTATAGAAAATGCATTTTTCTTATTTCGTTCGCCCCTCGGCAGGTAATGTCTACCCCTCCGAGTATATTTCCGACATGAAATGAAAGCTGCTCATAAAAATCCTTCGCCCAATCGCACGCGGGTTGGTATAAACTAAAGTTCCCTCTATTTGTTGCGAAAACATAAAGACGCACACCACAAATTGACGGAAGAGAAGGGCAGAAGAGGCTTGGCAAATCTGTAAACTCAGATTTCAGTTGAAAAATATTTTTTTTTTGTAAAACTCGTTTTGAATTAAGTTTGGCTTGAGTTAAAAGGACATGCTCAGGCCATAATGAAGACATAATTCTTGTACATTTGATTGTTTCTCATTATTCGTCGTTCAGAACAAATCTGTGCTACGCCGGAGCGTCTTCAAGCTTTCTTGGTTCATATTATGTTACATAACTTGGTGATAAAGACATTTTTTGAATAAAGAATTAAAGTATCACAATGATTCCCTTAGTGGTCTATTTGAGCTGATGTCCTACAAACACTTCAACCTAACCTAAACTGTGATTAAAAGTGAGACAAATCTATACGAAGCGAGTGAATAACAATGCAAAATAATGTTAATGGGTTTAAGGTATTTGATGATTAATTTAGTTTTTGACAAACAATTAAAACTATTTATAATTAAATGGTGATAATCAAAGAATTGTAGTCCTTCTATCATCAGTGAAATATTTCTCTCTTGTGTGACATTTATTGCACACTCTATTCGCGCACACTCCAGTTCATCCACATTCGTTCCACTAGCAGAAGCAGCGCCTAACACAATTTTCATATATAACATTTCATTGACACCGTTATTCGAAGTCGATTTACACATTTCACTTTGAATTGGCATTTATTGACTTGCTGCTTTTGCTGCTGCTTTCGTTACCGCTGCATGCGCAAAGATGTCGCTGTTTACTATTAACGCCCAATCTGTCGACACGACCACTACACACCCACACAACTCATTCATAGTAAGTAGTCTCGCTCTTTTTAAGTGCTCTCTCATTTCCATTCAATATAACACACGCGCTCTTGGCAACTTTATTTGACCACTACGCTCTCTCTTAGTCTCCCTCTATCCGTCCCTCTCTCTCTTTCTCTCTCTGCCTCTATTTCTTTATCTATCTCTGTTTCTCTCGGTCTCGCTACATTGTCCTTTCACCGTTTGACACATATTTGACATTTACGCCTTTTTCGTTATTAACTGTGTATGAGATTTACATTATGTTTGTATTGTTGTTCTATAGTAATCAGCATAAAGTTGGCTGTGCTTCTTTAGTTACACGTATTTTTAACATTCCCCTTTTGTGCACATATTTAACAACACACATTCACTGCTTCGTATTGTATTTCGCTCTACCTTTTCTGCGCGATTTTCGCAAAATCTACGTAAAATTTCTCTACTACACTTGTAACCGTTACTTGCTTACTGCCTTTCCTTTTACCCAATTTTATTCTATTGTACTTTGCGCTGTTTCAGTCTTTACGTTAATTTAACGGTTTTTATGTTTGTATTTAGGTGCGTATGTGTGTGTGTTCTCTTTAATGCCTCTGTTTGTCCGCAAACATTTGTATTCTTATTCACATGCATACACATATACATATGCTTTGTGTATGTGTGGCCATATTTACATCTGTTTTCCTGGAAAAAATCGGCTCAACATCAGTAGCAGCAGCAGCAGCAGCAGCAGCAGCCGTCAGCATCCAGCAGCATCTAGCAGCAGCAGCTACTAGTAGCCTGGCAGTAGGCAGTAGATTTCACATCATAGTACATTTTATTTATTCATATTTGACCTTTTTCTCTTTTTCACAGTTTCACTAATTGAAGGAAAATATTTATCTAAGTTACACTGAAGGCCACTAACGTAGAGTAAGAGTGGGTAGTAAGTAACTGTTATGCAGGTTAAAGTGTGTAGCACTCATTAGTCGAGCAGCAGCACATGTGTACACACATTGTTATTGATATAGGACTCTAAAAATTTAGCTAGAATACTTAATAGGTATTAATAATAAATGTGCTCGTATGTGAAAAACGGCGAGGAATAATTTAGCATAATTATTTTTAAAAGGTTGTCTGCTAAGCCAAACGATGGAGATTTTAATTCAGATATAGAAATTTAATAAAAAAAAATTAGTGAAAATTTCATTAATGTTGTACTATTTGTAAGCTACAGAAACCTAAATTATGGCAATAACTATAACCGCTACTAAATATGTATAATATATAGCCTATCCTAAGGCGCTGTAGTTAGTAGTGGATCACTCATACGACGTGGCGTTGCACATTGTGAATACGTGGCCATAAATAAAAAATTGTAGTAAAACAATAATTTATTTGTAAGAGTAATCGAGAGATTTCACATAGGCTAAAAAAATTCTCACCAAACATTTTTTAATTTCCTTTTCGTTTAGCCATACAGGGTGACCAAAGTAAGGCTTGAAAAAAAAACATATTATTTAACGTTCATAAAACTAAAACTCTTGAAACTAGAAAAATTCTTAAAAATCGAGTATAGCTAATTATTGTTACTTTTATTACAAAATAATGCTTTTGCGTACCAGCTGCACGAATTAATTTTTGGAAATTTTTAAAAATGGAACAAAAAAAAAATAAATTTTTGTGTTGCTCAACTCTAAGTAAAAAAAAAAATTATATAAAAAAAATTAAAAATGTAGCCCTGTCAAGTTTTTAATATAAATTAAACTTAGTTCAGACTTGCGCGGTTCGATTTCATAATTTGTCTTCTACTAGCTTAAAAGTCTCCTTTCCAAAACATTTATAATGCTACATTTGAAATTATTAAAAACTTAATTGAACGATTTCTGCAATATTGCTTATATAAGAAAGCAGATTCTTGGTGCAAAAAATATAAAAAGAAAATGTTGTAAAGATCGAAAAACATGGTATTTTATTCAAGAGGGACCTATATTTTATTTTAATGTTTTCTAGTCTCAATTTTATGTTTTATTAACACATGAAATTTGCTTAAAAGTTCCTTTGCGTCTTACTATTAATGATTTTTTTCCTGGAGTGAGCTTTTTTTAAATTCTGAACAAATAAGTAGTTTAGAACCATAATGCGTTGTGAAGGAAGAAATAGAAACTGAAATAAAATTTCATTTATACAAGGTTATCCACTATGCGGTTTCGAAACTATACGTAAATAAAATGTGTTTAAAATACAATTCTCATGAAATTATTTTTTTATTATAAAGGTAGAGCCTCGGCTTTGCAAGTGCCGTCATTGTTATGACCGCTACGCGAATTTTTGGAAACTTCGATACGCATGAGTTAATTTTCAAATCGGGGGGCGAAAATCGAGGATGTATTTCATCACCACTTGTTCTCTTCTAATTCTCTGATTAGCAAGTTAGGAATTAAACTTCATGCAAAACCAAAAGGAAAGAAGCAGAGGAAGCGCTAATTTTATTAAATTTATTCATAATATATTTTAAAAAAAAAAATATAATAAACTAAGTTACTCCTTAACGGGATTCAAGAAAGGAAAATAACATCAAATAAAATAAAGCAAATTGAAATAAAATAAAATGAAAAATGTATCTAAATAAAATAAAATAAAATAAAATAAAAATAAAATAAAATAAAATAAAATAAAATAAAATAAAATAAAATAAAATAAAATAAAAATAAAATAAAATAAAATAAAATAAAATAAAATAAAATAAAATAAAATAAAATAAAATAAAATAAAATAAAATAAAATAAAATAAAATAAAATAAAGTAAAATAAAAGGAAATAAAATAAGACAAAATAAAATAAAATAAAAAAATTACATTTAATTAAATTAAATTAAATAAATTAATTCAAATAAAATAAAATAAAATATTAAAAAGAAATCCATAATTTTTGCCATCGATAGATGGATCTGGCGTTCTATAGCTATGACTGAATTATGCTAGGTGGCGTTAAAAGATATTATTTTGTACTGAAAAAATGGCAGAAGTGTTGATCACTTAACTCAGTAGTGTTTGAGCGCACTATTGACGACCAGGAAGGTTTTGTTTGTGTGCTTGGTGGGATTGCAAGTAATCATACAGTACACGGCAGCTTATGCTGAAAATTTGACAACTTGTTTCTATGGTTTACGCGATGGTTTGTAAGAAAAAAAAATACCGGAAAGTGGACCAGAGACCGACTAACCTTAATTTTATGATTCAATTTACATCGAATTCGGTGTTTTTTTTACTTATGTTAGCAGGAAGACTACTTATCTCTTCGGGAAGTAGACCAGGAAATAATAATTTTACCGACAAATCGACAAAAATTAATATGATTTGGATATAAGCATAGATCATGTGCGGGTATGTTCACTGAGCAATGTTATTATTCTGCGGCTGCGAAATTCATGAGCTCTTATTTTACCTTCACCTTGATTGTGAATAAGCACGGGTCCGGATGGTGCGTTTGGTTTACTCATAGGTATTCATATTGAAATTTACATTAAAGGTTTGGAGTACCAACTTAAGCGAAACTAAGCAAGAGCAACCCTATTATTTCTTGCGTACACCTTCACGTACGGACAGCAAGGCAGTTGGTGTCCCAAAGGCGGGCCACAACCTAATCGCAACCCATGCACGGAAGATATGACACATGATGCAGCGGAGAGGCATGAGTGAGATGTTAAAGTATCTCCTATGTTTGTGTCCGGATTTCGGTATAATTCGTCTAAAATATCTCGGAGATAGACTAGAGAAGACTTCAAAATTTAGTACTAAGGCTCTCTTGCGCTTCGCGAAAGGCGTTGACCTCCCACACCAAAATTACTTTATATATATATATATATATATATATATATATATATATATATATCTACTAAGTTTTTTTTGGTAGCATTGTAGCGATGCGCGAGATCATCTAGCGTGGTACAGGAATCGAGCTGTCTCGACGGGTTCGGACCAGAGGGAAAGGCGGGTTAGATGAGTTGGTTTTAGGCGACATGGAAAGGGTATGTCATTTCCGGACATATGTTGGATATTTCGAGGTCAAGCCTGGATAAGTAGGAGTTCAGTCTTTTACAATATCCAGATCTTAATTTCGCCAGTACTACGCGGAACACTTGAGGTAGTTCGAGGGGATGGTTTGGCGCCATTCATAAGACGCCACTAGAAGAGAGTTCCTGAAAGTGTTGAAGAACTCTCGGTGAATGGTGCTCAGTGTCTCTCTGTAAGTCGTTCCATCCAGCGGTTGTTGTTAGTGGTGCTGAATCCTGTCCTTAAAGACGAGTACTCCACTTCCGAATGTGCCTAGGCGGTAGTTCGGCATCTAGTAAACGTTCTTAACTCGCAGCACAGATGCGCTATTCAAGTGATGTTCTGACAACATCATAAGACTTCCTGTTACGGTTCTGAGAGCGGTATTTTGGCAGGCTTGCAGCTTCTTCATCTAGTCTCGCTAGTTTCCAGCTTCCAAATCGGAGCACCATAGTCAACGGCCGGCCGACCAATTGCTTGTAAGCTACCAGCAACGTTTCTTTGTCCATTTCGTCAGGTGCTGCCGGCTAACGCTTTAAGGATTTTGTTGCGACTCTGGTGTTATTTTTTTTCTTGACAAATGCAGATATTTTTGGAGTGATGGAGTGGAAGTTGTCGCATTTGGCTCCCAATAGCTGCGGGTAGTTTATAGACAAAATCTTTACTGCATCGACTTTCACATTCAGTTCAAGCCTAAGGTTCACCCAGCTGGTTAAAATTTGAGTCGAGCATTTTGCTGGTTGTAATTATAATTGTGTTGCAGTGGAGAAGTTTGTTGAGATGGCAGTACACTTTCTAACATAAGTCATTCATATCTTGGCCATACGCAAACATCAAGCAATCATCGCATAAGAAATCGGTAAAACCGCTTCTGGTTGAGTAGGGAGTTTCGAGATAAAAAAGTTTAACAAAACTAGGGGGAAGACACCACTGTATAGATCCGCTGTACTCTCATGTCAGCCGGTTCTATGCACCGGTGTTTAACAGCCGAAAGCAGATGATGATTTTTGATGATGAAACTTTATTTGATGTCGGCCGTACACTCGGAGGGGTTGATATTCGTTCTGCATGAGGGCCGATTGAAATTAGAAAATTTAACTTAAACTTTTATTTAAATTAAATTTCTGTTGGATTTTGGTTAAACAGACTAGCACTCGAATCCTGGTCTACCGTACGGCAGTACGCAACGTTAAACACTCGGCTATTGGGGCGGGCAATTTACTTTAGATTGCAATCATCTGGACGCTACAAGGAACCAACGGATCTATGTAAACCGCATCAGCGGCTAGTGTAATCTAATCTTATACATTGATATTTAGAGGATGCTCATTGAGAGCTTTTTATCATTCTTGGCAATGGGAAAATTTATAAAAACAAATGGCCGAAATTTAGAAAGCCACAAAAACCGGTTCTGCTAGCATGATCTACAAATTCATCAATTTTCTCTTATTCATGATTCCGGAAATTTAAATTTCAGGGTTTTTAACAGCATTCAATTAGCACAAACAAGGCATGAAATAACAACTAATTAAAAATTAAATATAATTAAAGTCAAACAAAAATACACCCTGTGCGTGTGTGTGAGTGTGTTTTTTTTGATTATTTAATTTTTTTTTTTTTGAATTTCTGCGCAATAAAAGGGGTAGGGCAACTAATCACATACACGATGCCTACATCTACGTACGTATACCTATGTATGTATGTGCAGGTGTTTGTTTACGCTGCATGCATGAATGTGTGTATTTGCGTGTGTGTTAGTGTAATCTTTTAAGCATCAGCATTCAGCAATATGCGAAACAATGGGTCAATAAACACTTTATCCACTCAATGGACCGCAATGAGCATAAATAACATAATAATCGTCTACTTATAAATGAAGGTTAATACTTTTTTCTGCACTTTTTGCAAATTTCTTGTAATTACATATATGCATGTATGCAGCACCACACAAAGGGAAGATGGTACTCAATAGAAAAATGTGTTTATGAGCGCTACTGAGTACCAATGATAAGCAGATTGGCTGTGATAAAAGATGCTTTAAAGGATGCTTGAGCATTGCAACTGTAAAATTCTAATCAAGCACAGCTTTAGCTGTAATTTTTTAAGCCTAGAGAGTCCGAGCTATGTTCGCTGCATACTGCTACACATATTTCTTAGCGGCGCTGCTGGTTACGATGCTTTTGCCACATCTCGCACACATCAAAAAATATTTTTTTTTTTTGGCTGACGGATATTGGAACACAAAATTCTATTACACTTTTCGATTTAGTTTTGTTTTTGGAAATTTGATATTATTTTAATTATATGTATTTTGGCTTTTAGTTTACCAATTTAGTTGTTTATTTTTTCGAATATTTGCTGCTACACCACGCGCAACGTCAAAAGAATTTTCTTCGCTCCGAATTTCGATAAAATTTTCTCACACACAGATTTGCACACGCAAACATACGCGCGCAACACGCAGCGCCACCAAACTCCCTTTTTGGTACTTTTGGTACTTTTTACACAATATTTTGTCCGCTGTCGCAGCTGCCACCGCTGCCGCTGCTGCTACTGCCGCCTTCTTCGCTGTGGCTATGGCTGCTGCTGCTGTTGCGTGCCGTTAACGTCGGCGTCGTCGTTAACGTTGACGCGTTCTTACTGTCATTTCTCGATTGCGACTGCAGCCAAAGGCGTAAAACGAAATTCATACTCGCGTTCGCATCGCGTTTCCGAAATACATAAACGAACACACGAAAAAAAATCCCACACGCACACACTGGTACACTCGCACAAACCATATACAATTTTTTTTTCTCTGCTTCTCCTTTTACTACTGAATTTGACTGAATTTCTTTATTGATTTTTATACGTTGCCTTCTTGCCTTTGACTTTTTCTCCTGCCACTTGCGTAAAATGTTAAATTTATTTATGATATTTTTTTTTAATATAATTTAAGTATATTCAACTTTCAGTTGTAGTGGTGGGTGGCGTGTGTGTGAAGCACTCGAATTAATATTAATGTGGAGTAGAAAATTCGTTTAATTTAGTATGAAAGAAAAAACACTCTTCGCGCTGCGTCGAGATGAAAAATTGACTTTTCAACCAACTACGTATGGACCAACACAGACAGCCACCAAACTGACAGCAGTCACGCAGACAGGCCAGACCGTTAGTTCGTTAGGCGGTTAAGCACAAGCTCCAGCCATACAGCCTCCCAAGCACGGGAGCAGAGCGGATCGCATGCCATGGTATAGGCATGATAGCGAGAGAGAGAGTGAAAGAGCACGAAAAATCGTAGGCTCAGTGGAAAAGTTGAAAAAGGGCAAAATATAATGGGAAATTTCTGGGGCGGAAAATGTGTAGGCAGAGTCGCTTTCAACTGTCGGTGTTGCAGTCACAAAACATTTTTTATTAAATTCAGACAACTGTCAAATTCACGTTCACAGTTAGCAGCCACTTACCAACACTGTAAAGTATAAATAATTAAAAAAAAAATTTTTTTACTTCAAAGCAGTGCCGCTGTGTCGTCAGAGCAGCTCGTTAACACTTTTTCGAAAATTTCCAAATACGTAAATCGCACAAATTGATATGCTTGTTCAGACATACATATATACATCTATGTACAGGGCTATCCATTTTGCGATTTCGAAAATAAACGTAAATTAAATGCATTTAAAATTTTTGTTCTTCATCAAATTCCTTTTTATTATAAAATTTTAAGATGCGAAATACCTCTTAATTCAAATCACTGCCACACGAATTCCGGCACATTTGGATTCGTTTGATGTAATTTATGACCACTTCTTGCCATGAAACCACATGTTGTCCTATCCGTGTTTTTCAGTTGCAGGACAAAGAATTTCGGTCCGAATTGATAGAGGCAGTCTTGCCGTTTTCAAATAATTAAAGTTCAATGGCGCCCGAAATATCCGAGTGGTTAGCATTGCGTACTACCATTCGAGTTCTGGTTCGACCGAGGTCCAAGAGTTCTAGAAAATTAATTTCAATAAAAAATTAATTTAAATTTTCTTACTGCGTTCGCACCTCGGGTGGGAATATCAGGCCCTCTGAGTGGTTCTCTGACATGAAATAAAAACTGTAAATTGCTTCAGCGGTTTCAAAATGCTAATTATTTTATGTCTGTATATATACCACTAAGTTTGACAGCTGAAACCCCGAAATGCATAGCCCTATATGTATGGCTTTCCATGTTCCGGTATTTCTTTTAAAATTTATCCCAATTATAATTTTTTCCGTCTTCAATTTGAAAAAAAAAAAAATAATTATTTAAATTTAAATTGTTGCTGAAAATAAATTATAGTGTTAAAAGTATAAGCTGCCGAAAATATATATAAATACATCTACATAACTATGCTAATTAAGTTGTGCGAGTCACATTATTTTTGTTGGCATTTTTCATTTCGATTTTTTTTTTCTTTACTTAACGAAAGCGACCGATCAAGTTTCGAGCGACTTTAAGCGCGGCCATTAACTACACTGTGAGAAATAATTAATGATTCACTAAACTTTTGGAAATTAGTAGTATTTTTATGTTCCAATTTCTCATCTTCAGACAGTTAAATTAAAAAATATTTTTGCCTGGAATTTCGGTTCCAAACTAGTTCTCTTCTGGCTTTTAAATTATTTATCTATTAACCGCTGAAGCGATTGTCGGCCGTGCTCCTCCGTTTTATTGTATGCGTATTGATGTTTTTTCCAACAAATAGAGGAACCAACAGTTTATACTAAGCCGCCTCCGTACGGCTGGTGGTTTTTTTCGAGTAGCCTTATATTTCATGACCGAAATACACTCGGAGGGGCTAGCATTTTCTGCCGAAGGGCGACCGCAATTAGACAAGTTTACTTAATTTTTTGATTAAATAATTTTCTATAACTTTTGTTGAACCTGCGTGTCAGTCCGTTAATCTTTTGGCCATTCGGTGTCTATTGGAGGCAGTAAGCGAAGGCTTCCAACTCTCCCGAAGACTTCCAAAACCGCCTTATTGCCACGAGAGAAAAAGAAGCTGATGCCTCCACCTTAACATGCCGTCATACTTGTATAACTCAGCCGAAAAGCATTAAGATCTCTCAGCTTATATGATAAAACGAGAGATGTTTTGTATCATAATGAAAAGGGAGGTTGTTCCTCCAGATCTCAGGCACGCGCTAGCGGACAGTTCGCTTGATTATTAACTCTTATTATATTCCGCCTGATTTTCATAAGGTTTGACGCTTGGGACACCGTAGATGCCAAAGTCGGTTGAAATCTAGGCACTTGTAAAGGAAGTGTTTCGACGTGCCTTCGTCTATGTATGCTCTGTATTCAAAACACTCAGTTAAAGCTAATTTTTAAAGTTTTCGTAGGTCCAAGAGCCAACCCACCGTTAAAATATAAGCAAGAAAAATCAGCAGCAGAAGTAATGTTTTCAGTTTATTTCAACCGATCTAAAATCGTAGCTGCTATTCCACTGAGAAAGGGTCAGACGGTAACTGCAAATTGGTACAACGAAGAGTGCTTACCAAAAGTTTTCAAAAATTTGTTGGAAAACAGGTAGAAAGAGGATTTGCGGCGCTACTTTTTACATCATGACAACGCGCCATCCTACACTGCTGAAATAATGAGTAATTTTATTGGAGTTCTCTGGGACGGATATAGCACCTTGTTATTTCTGGTTATTTCTAAAAAAAAAAAAGTTTAAAAGGGAAGGTGTTTCATAGCAACGAGAAGGTAATTCATGTGTTTAATGCTGAACTTGATGAGCTAAAAAAGCAAGAATCTGAAGATTGTTTTCAGAAGTGAATCTAAAGGCTTAAGAAACGCATTAAAATCAATAGCGATTATGCAGAGAAGATAAAAAAGTGCAAAGATTACGAATAAACTCAAATAGATATTTTTCTTGTCAACTGTATCGTATCTCAAACCCCGTGCCCGTACAACCGATTTGATAAGATGCGAGGTTTTGGCTCAAAAATTCATTAAAAGCATCGGAAAATTTTTTCTGATATAAACATAAATTTTTAATCTCATAATTAAATAACATAAATTTGATATATTTTTGAGTGGTGTTAAAACTTCAGCTTGGTCGAAGACAACTCTTCTTTCTTGTTCTTTCTTTAATGGCGCGAAAATCTTATTGCTACGGATATTTGATAGTTTTTAGTGCAAATGGCAAAAAACAAAAATAAACAAATTATTCTTAAATTATTCTGAAATAGTTTAGCTATTTATAAAAATTAATACATATTTCCCTACACACATATATTTGTATTTATTTACATATGCAAATTATTTCACTTCCTCGAACGTAAGAATTATCATAAAAATTCATCACGTATGATATTCCTTTGGTTTGGTTAAAACACAAGACACTAACAAAATTTGTGAACTAAGCTACTAAAGAAAGAATGAAGAACTTTTCTTAAATTCAAAACAAACAAGTTTTTCTCTTTGTTTTTTTGTTCTTTTTTACTGTTCCCGTGAGAGTATAAAAATCCAGCAAATCCATACAGAGTCTATTAGTAAACATTCAAAGCTCAAATCAAAAGTACAAAAAATTCAAAACAACGAAAATGCAGAAATTCTTGGTAAGTTAGAGACATACGAAAAAAGGACTTGAGTAAAAATAAAAAAATTGAAAAAAAAATTCTGAAATTTTTTTAAAATTAATATATTTATATAATATTATTTCCAAGTGGATGTTAAAAAATGCAAAGTTGACAAAAATTTTAAAATTAATTAAATTAGAAAATATAAAAAATTTACTATTATATATATAAAAAAAATTAAAATTAATAAATTTTTTTCAAATACAATTTTTTTTTATAAATTTCGTAACAACTTTTAATGGAATTTTTATTAAATTTCTAAAACAAAGTTAACTGAGTTATTGCTCTTTTCTTAAAACTTCTATTATTTATCTATTCTTGTAATTAAATTTGTGTAATTATTCCCTCTCAGATTCTTTTCGTGCTTGCCGTCTGCTTCTTGTGCCTGGCTTATAGCCAAGATCTCAACGCTATCAAGCAACAAATTATTGGTAAGTGTTTTGCGTGAGATTTTCAAAAATTTTGCTTTTCAAAAATGTATAAATAATAACAAACTATTGTTTCACTTACTCTACAGCTCAATACGAACGCATTCCTGGCCAATCATATCATCATCCTGAAGAACAAGCTCATGTGCTCAGTGACCCATCAGAGATTGATGTGAACTTTTAAGTGTTTGTTACCTGTTTAAGATACTTTTATATTATGTCTTCCACGTTTTTGTTTAATGAAATTATTTTTTTAATAAAAATTAAGTTTTACATGTAAAAAAAAATCTTTAAAAGTTTTTATTTAAATTATTTTTTTAGAGAAAAAAAACATTTTTCTTTTTACATAATATCTTTTTTAGTAAATGGTTTCTTTAAATGTAGTTTCCAAGAAGCAAGGGCTAAGAATTCACCTTTATTAAAAATGTTTATAATGATTCGACATTATGTTTGTAATTTTGGGCAAATGAAAGCCGCGTTGGCTCCAAGAATTTCCAATTCAATTCAAACACTCTTCGCAGCAATTGGACAATAACGCGTCGAATATTATCTTTCAAAGCGTTCTTCCTTCCAGATATAGTCCAGCGGTGTTAAATCGCATAATTTTGGAGACTATACTACAGGCCCACGGCATAAGGTAATGCGCTCACCAAACGGTTCCATTAATAAATTATCTGATTTGCTTGCTGCATGTTATGTAGCGCCGTCTTGTTGCAACCAAAATTCGTCCACATCAACATCCTCCAATCCAGGCACAAAAAAGTCGTTAATCATGGCTCTGTAGCACTGTATATGGACGGTAATCCGGTGGGGCTCTTATTTTCTTCCACGAGTTGGATTTCGCAACTGTGCAAATTAATTTAGTTTTGCAAAATAAACTAGAAGGATAAGGCGCACCATGGCCGATGGACTCATTTAGATCTACTTCGATATTCAGCTCCACAGCAACTACGGCTTTTTCGGTACGCACTGTACGGTGTCTGTGAGTAGGCGCATTACCCACTAGAGTAAAAGTGGTGTGAAACCGATGCAGAGCTGCTCGAATTAACGACTCTACTGGAAGAATTTATCGATCGAATATTGCGACCCGAACCATTATTTTGAATACGTTGAGTCAGTTCATTATGAAATGACAAATAGTAGTAT